GAAAAAGAAACAATGGTGGGACATTAGCTGTGTGCTAGTCATGTGTGGAGTGTGTTCACACTCAGTTCACCTTCAAAGTGAGGGTGATTAATTTTATTCTGCTGTGGGGAAATGGCGAAATAAAAAGAGAGTGCGTACTTGAATAGATTTTTCTGAATTCTGGTTGCATCAGTCAGGGCTTTTTATGTGTCTGTCTATCTACCTACATACCATCTGCCTGTCTATCTATCTGTCTGTCTGTCTGTCTGTCTGTCTGTCTATCTATCTATCTATCTATCTTCTATTCATACATTTATCTAGCTGTCTTCTATCTGCTATCATCTATTCATAGATATGTTTTAGGGAATTGGCTCATGTCATGGTCCAGGCTGACAAGTCTGTGGGCTCTCTGGAGAATAAGGGAAGAATTACAGAGTAGACATGGATTTCAAATCTGCAAGGCAAGACAGCAGGCTGGAAACCCAAGCAAAGTTCCTATGTTAAAGTATCATGACGGAATTCTCTCTCTGGGAAAAAAAACACGAAATCTATGCTAACCTGATGGAATGAGGGCCATTCTCACAGTGTAGGAGAGCTGCATTGCTAAAGTTACAAGACATCTATAAGACATCTTCATGGCAGCATCCATGCTAGTGCTTGACCAAGCAACTAGACATCTTGCTTTAATTAAATTCTCACACAAAATTAGCCATCTCAGCATGCTTGGATTTTACTTGTTGTATTTGTTTTTCTTTTCTTGTCTTTTTTTTCCCTTCAAGACAGGTTCCTCTGTATAGCCTGGTCCTGGAATTTGCTTTGTAGACCAAGCTAATCTTAATCTCACAGAGATCCACCTGCCTCCCAAATGCTGGGATTAAAAGCCTGCACCGCCATGCCTGCATGGCTTTTTTTTCTATTTTTATACTTTGTCAGACTTGGGAAAGCCATTAAAGGTTTGTTGGTGTTTTTTTTTTTTTAAACCTGGTTCAGGACTTGAACTGAGAGGTGATTTCCATTTAGTGAACATGGAAGATACAGTTCTCCTAGAGAAGACTTTTGGTTTGACTGGGGATTTTGAAGTAACTCTGTTGGAACTTTAATGCTTTAAGAAAGTGGTCTTGGTGCCCGATGTGCAGTGTCAGACTGTTTCTTTACCTTCTGGTGACCATTCCTGTGCTTTCCTTGCTGTCATAACCAGCGCCCTTTCTTACCTTTGTTTTCTCTCTAGGTTCTTGCTCTGACCCTTCCTCTCCTCTGCCAGTTCTCACAGGAGTAGATCCAAGGTTACCCATCCCTCCATCAGCGTTTCCTCTGGAACATCCCCCAGTCTGCATTTCGGGCCTGATATGCACGTATTGACCCTGGAGTCTATTGTATTGACTTTCCAGTTATCTGTAAGTTTAAGCAGGCTGGGCTGATGTCTTATTTCCTTGTCCCCAGGATCCTGGGCACTACATGGTGGACTTTTAATAAATATTTACTTAACATTAAGTAGAGAGAATGCTACTCTTGATATTCTTTGACATTCTTCCAGAACAATTGAATTTGTTTTTCTTTTTCCATCCAAGTAAATTACTCTCTGCACAGCAGTTTCTCCAAGTGCTTGTCATTATATCATGAATGTTCTCATGAAGAACAATTAAGAGCCAAGAGGTGACTCTCATCAGTGGAATTTGTGTCAGGCACACAATTTGCCCTCTTGTTAGGAACAGAATCTAGTGAGCTATCCAGGGTCCGACATGTGAAGAATGGGTTTGCCATACAGCCATTGGTCCATGGACTTTCTCTGAGTCTGCTCTAGGAAGAGTGACAGTAAGATGACAGGTATGAACATTAATGACTTCAAGGTGGTCTCAGTCTCTTTTACTGTCCCCAGGAGCCCATTGCAGAGTTTGCGCGGATGTGATGCAGTATGTTTGGAGACAGTGATGTATATGTGTTTAGTCTGAACTGTCCAGCATGGCAGCAGCCCTGTGGGGGCAGCTGCCTGGAAGATGGAGGAAGAGGTATGTATGACTCATCGTGGAAGGCCACCTCTTCTTTCCTCGGCTGCCAAGACCACAGCTTTGATCACTTTGTAATGGAATTTCTAATTTTCTCTTTTCAAAAATAAATGAGATCTGTCCTCTGCATTGGGGAACCATAAAGGATTCAGTTCAAGTCCATTTAGTTCAACGTTGTCATGATACTCATTTTAAAATATTTAAAATATTTATTCAGGCTCCAAGCCATGTATTGGAGTGCAATTATGAACAAGGAACAATAGACCCTATCCTCAGGGAGCTTACAGTCCAATGAAGGAGCTTCTTAAAAGAAGAGAATGCAGAACTAGGGACTCCCTCCCAGCAGCCACTGTCACATACACAGCATTGGCCCCATGCTGGGGACACTCAGTCAGGTTTTCTACATTTGTCATCATCATCTCATGTTGTCAACACAATAATCTTTTGAAGTAGACAGTATTATGGTCTACTAAGTAAGGAAACAGCCCTTGACTCATTAGAAAACTGTTCAAAAGCTTCAAGTCAGGGACAAGAGATTTCAACTAAAGCCAATTGTCTTTGAAGTCAAATCAATTTCTCATTGCTACATCTGGCTTCTATGGAGTATCTACACAGTGAACCTGGTTGTGAGCTCATCTAAGTGCTGTAATTGAGGTACAGTGAAGACTCAGAAGAAGCCAGGAGGATGAGATTTCAAAGACTATGTAGAAGTCCACCATGCGGAAGGATTGGGAAGGTATTCTAGAGCTGGGCACAGTGCTGTGCTGGAATGTGTAATGGTCTAGGGTCACATGGTAGTGGGGAAGAGGAGAGGTGGAGAAAGAGGATTTCAATGAGGATGGGAGTAAGACCAGCAAGAGGAGTCCTATCTGTTTCTCAGGGAACAGAAGCATTGACTGTGTTATGCATAGGACAATGAGATAATGAATCCAAGGGTCAAAATAGAGAATTGGCCAGTAGGGGTGACCTAACGTGCAGCACCAGGAGCTAATTGGGAAGCCACTGCTGGTCTCCTTTAGCTTCTGTGATATTTCTCTGACACACATACTGGGAAGAACTCATCAGTAGTTCCATTTTTAAGGTAGAAATATTTCCCCACATTTCCTTTGTAGTTCAGGGGTTGGGGGAGGGTCAGCAGCAGATTTCCTCCCCTTAACTGCACGAGGAAATAAAACACTGCATGTATGTAACTGTAAGGACAATGCAGGACACTGGAAACATGGACCAGACCACTTACCTACATCAAAAAAAAAAACTATTCTTCTAGCTGCTTAGAGGGCTGCCAACAGACAGCCTTTTACTCTTAGTCCCATTCAGGATTTTATCATCAGAATACAGTCATTTCTCCCAACTTCCCCTTTCTTGAGCAGTTCATTAATGGTAGTTATGTTTTCTGGGATTATAAACACTCATACCCCAATCTGTGTAAAGTTTCTGAAAGACAAGACTCCTAAGAAGTTGTTGAGACCTCTTACTTCTTCTTCTTTTTTTTTTTTTTTTTTTTGGTTTTTATGAGACAGGGTTTCTCTGTATTGTTTTGGAGGCTCTCGGTCCAGCCCGGCCTCAAACTCACAGAGATCCGCCTGCCTCTAGTCATTGAATCCAGGTCACCTGATATGCTTCCTGGGGGGCAGGATACATCTTCAGCATCTATTAGATGTGTCAGGAAAGGAGGCCTAGATAGAACTAATTTCTTCAAGATCACAAGGCTGGCAATTTTCATGTCTTGTCATTGGATTTATATTTTTAATGTAGGATGTGTGTGTGTGTGTGTGCACACGGACACGATGTATGCTCATGTTGTATGTATGTGCAGAGGCCAGGGGAGTATGTACGATGTCTTTTATGAATCTTTGTCTTACTTTTTGAGATGATCTGCCACTGTGATAGTTTTACGTTAAATTGACGAAAGCTAAAGTCATCTGAGAGGAGACCTCAGTTAAGAAAATGCTTCCCTAATACTGGGCTGCAGCCAGGCCTGTGAGGCATTTTCTCAATTAGTGATTGATAGAAGAGGGCCCAGCCCACTGTGGGTGGTGCCATCCCTGGGCTGGTAGTCTTGGGTGCTATAAGAAAGCTGGCTGAGCAAGCGATGAAGAGCAAGTCAGTAAGCAGCACCTCTCCATGGCCTCTGCATCAGCTCTTGCCCTGTTTGAGTTCCTGTCCTGACTTCCTTCAATGATCAACAGTGATGTGGAAGCATAAGCCAAATAAACCCTTTCCTCCCCAAGTTGCTTTGGTCATGGTATTTATCACAGCAGTACTATCCATAAGTAGTCCCTGAATCTTAAGCCTGCCATTTCAGTTAAGCTCAAGCTCCTATAGTCCTCTGTCTAAACTCTTAACACTGGGTTATAGGCTTAATGTAGGGGATTTGAACTTAGGTCCTCTTACTGTCACAGTGAATACTCTGACCTATAGAGTGATCTTCCATGTTTCTGTTTGTTTTGAGTCTCGTCTATTAAACTAGGAGCTGACACATGCCAGCAAGCTCTCAACTGACCACTGGATTATAGTCTCAGCCCATCTAATGTTTCTAATACACTGATATCTAGGCATGCTGGTCCCAGGATTGCCATTTCTGGGCCGGAAACTGTATTTATCAGGTAGTAGTCACCTTTTAAAATCCTGCTAAAACTGTGATTCCCAGAAAACAGGAAGTATTGGGTATTAAAACATCACTGAGGAGGCCCCGACTTTAACTTGGGGGTTCACAAACTTTCCTTGTTTTCCACAAAATTGCCCCCAAGGTCCCTAAAGTGAAAAGGGAAAGGCAAAGAGGTATGCATGATTGGGGGTCATTGTGAGGCCTAAAAAGGAAAGGAGATGTGTGAGAGGAGGAAATGGGGGAGAAGAGAGGAGGGAAGAGGAAGGAGGAGGAGAGGGAAGATGCTGAGTGGACAGGTAGAGGTGAAGAGAAGAGAGTAGAGAGCAAGAGAGCAGAGGGAGTAGAGAGAGCAGGAGGCAGTCAGTTGTTTTCTTCTCTAGGTAAAAAACAAAGGCAATTTCTCTACTCACGAGGCATCCTGTTATTGGTGGATATATGCAGAGATGGTAGCTTGGGAAGAGCGTCCTCAGTTCACTCTGCAACAGTGCTGTGAGGAGCCTATGGGGGTGCTATGATATCACAGGGCCAGGAGGCTGTGAGGAGCCCACAAGGGTGTTATGATGTCACAAGGCCAAGGGGACTCTCATCTCATGCTGAGAGCAAATGAAAGAAAGTGGGGTGTCTGGGGCTGTGGACCCTCCTGTTGGTGATCAGGTGATGTGCGCCCTATAAAGAACCTGGGAGCCTCGGCTCTGCAGTGGCTTTGCAAGAAAGAAACAGAGTCGCTGGGTGCAATTTGTTATCTTTTTAGGACAAAACCTAGCAGTTCTGAAAACACTGGCTGTGCTCCACAGCTCATTAAGTAGCACAGCTCCAAGGAATGAAGGATAAAGCCCAGATGTACCGGAGCGCAGCCGAGGGACAGGTGCTCTTTCCTTTCCTAAGGACCTGGGGCAGTGCCCACCTGTAGGAGCCCCTTGCACCAGTACCCTCAAGCTTCCTGAATAGTGTTCCTTTTTGATCAGACCCAAGGGGAGGGAGTCCTGATTGTCTGGTACTGAGAGGTCGTGGAAAGTTCATGGCATGGGGCAGTCCAGAGTCTTGACCTGTCTGCTTCCTTGATGAGGCCTTGGGAGGCCACATGGCTGCCACAAGCCTGGATGAGGCTCACAGTTTTCAGTTCACTGGGCCTGGGAATTCAGGAACATTTGTCTTCACTCCTGCAGGCCCTGGCAGCTGAAGTCTTAGTGTCACCAGGAGACTCTCAGTCCCTTCCAGCTACACAGTTTGTGTGGCTGCCATCCTACCTATGTGCCTTTAAAACAAGTCACCGCCACTGTCCTGCAGGGCTCATACACATCAGAGAACACAGGTTTAAGCTCTTGGCATAGCCTCTAACCTTTCTCCAGCCCAACAGTATTGCTTGGGCTGTGCTAGAGCTCTGTGTTGTCTTCCAACTAGATTCCTGATCCAGATGTAGTGAGAAGCTGAAGACTTGGACCAGCAGTCAGCTGCTTCTTCTCTAGGTCTGCTGCCATTTATAGAAGGGTTTGGACTGGATAAACATGGTTCCTGTATTCTGGTATGGACACCCTCTGATTTTGTTTTAGGGACAGTTTTCTGTATGAATGTTTTGTCTCTCCAGTTATTGAGTTCCATTTATATAGCTCTCTATGATCCAAAGGCTCTGAGACAAAAATGGTTCACTTGCATGCCTCAGACCCTTGCAGAACCCATAGTGGTCCTCGTATCCTCAAATTATGGAAACACAGGGCTGCTTGAGAATTTGGAAATATGAGTTGGGCAAGAAGAATTAGGTCAGATGCAATAGGCTATGCTGTATTTTGCAACCATGGGACTGATGGGACTGTGGCCAAATCCCTCTCTGCGTGCATGCTCAGGCAGGAATACACATTTGTGTGTGCATAGACACATGCACAAATGCATGCATATGTACATGCACGAATGTCTTCACTCTAGAAATCAGATGAAAGTTTTATTTGGAATTTTATCATGTAAGCATCTCTCACAACTTTCCTTTTTCCCCTTCAGAGTTGAGAATTTTCTTTCCTTTTTGCTTTTTATTTTTTCATCATATATTTACTAGTTACACATCTGAGGGTCCCAAACTTTATGTAAGTGATTGGAAACCCTGAAAATAGGTACAATTAAAGAAACTTGTGTTTAGGGAGGGTCAGTGCCTAAGTTGTACAGTGGGGGTATGATTTTCTATGATCTGAGCTTAGGTCTAATGCCAAAGCTAGTAGGTCTTTGTGTAACTGTTCATGTGAAGTGGATTCTTACTTGAGAGTGAGCTAATAAACAGGTTCTTGGAGCCAGTCATTTGATTTACAGGGTCTGCCTATCAAGTTCATGAGAGAGCCATTCACCAGATTCCTAGCACAAAGTTTTCCAAATTTCGGGATGATCCCTGCAATTAGTTTCTCTTACCTGACATTCAGTGATTCTGCATTTTATGGGAGACAGATGACATTAAACCACATAGTATGAAGCAAACACTCTTAGGTGTTGGAGGTTGAATTCTCAGAGCTAATCTTCCTGCTCTTTTGGGAAACCATGCAAATCATGGCCAAGCAGAACATGAAACAACAAGTTTGTTAATGGCTGAGCAAGCTCTGAAAACCTCACTGCAAAACAGGGGTCATGGTTGTATTATGGGTCTGGATTTGAGATTGTGAGTTCAGCTTTGTGGAGGGACATACTTGGGTTGGTGAAACAGAACCTAAGTTCACCTAAACAACTACAGGAACAAGAGTGGCTGCCCGAACCTTCATGCCAGACAAGTCACCTGGAAGAATAATTGATGAATGTCTCTCACCAGATGCCTGTTGCAGGGAGACAGGAAATGGGCAACAGGAAGTGCTCTGTAGGCAGATGTATAGCGAATAACATTCTATTCACACACATCCCCATGGTTCAGGAAATAGAGTAGGGTGTATTCAGTTTTGTGCCCCACTTTCAAGAAGTCATTGCCACTAATGATCTAGCTTCCAGGACTCTCTGGAGTCTGTCTAACCAGGTGAACAGTTGCTTCTTGTCTTTAGTGTGGTAAAGAGCTACTGAGGACAAGCCTATACCTATAGATATTTATTCATTGGTCAAGACTGAGGTGTAGGGTGATTAGTGGTGGAGACACATTCTTTCCAACAGCAGGACAGATTCTGCATCAGCCTAATTTCTTGGAGGCAGCATCAGCCATTCCATCAACATACACTAGAACTTACTTCACCAAGGTAACAAGCTAGTGAACAGTGCTGACCTGGATGTCCTTTATCCCTCATAGAGCTGACATTCTAGTTGGGGACATAGTCATAAACTAGCAATTAAAGTGATACACAGAGAAAGCAATGGGTAATTTCAGTTAGAAAGCTAACAAGTTAAGGACAGAATAATAATGAGGGAGAGACCACTCCATTCTAGATGGCCGAGAAGAGTCTCCTCATATACAGACAACACGTAGATTAGGATATAGTGTTAAAATATTATGGAAGTAGAGGGAGGAAATGACTTCTTTGGCTGGAAAACGAAAGTCAGTTGAAGTGACTTAACTCATAGTCATCTAGCAGGTCACTGGCAAGCCCAGACTAGAATCTGAAGCCAGAAATGTTTGTTCTACTTAAGGCTTTTTATCTTGCTCCTTTTATTTCTAGGGTCTTGAATCACTTCTTTTAGATTAGGTGGCCTAGAGGTGGTTGCATGGAATTGTCTTCAGAGTCAACGTTTATGTTTTGAAAGAAGCAGCAGAGGCCCTTGGAAAGAAAACATGTGCCATGTGAAAAGTCTCTTTTAAAAACATAATGAACAATTAATTGCACCGTGAGTTTAAGCTTCAAGCATTTCTCCCTCTTTGGTGGGTTTGGTTACTCTACAAAGGTGTGGGAGGAAAGAACAGATGGACAGTGCCCAATGCTTCAGAGACAGGAAAGCAACAGACACATGCTAGAAATGATTAGCTACCTGACATATGTGTGTCACACACACACCCTGGGCTGGGGAGAACAGTTATCTTTACTCTATTACCTTTATGCCCACTGCCTTTTCTGTAGGAATTGAAAACAAAAGAGGCTTGGTCCCGAGGTGGTGAGAGCTCCTACAATATGCTCTTTTCTCATCTGCCTTTTATCTCTTCCAGGGACAATCAGCTGCCAGAAATGTGTCACTTCAAGCAGTCCTGCACATTTCATGAAACATCTTATTTGGATAAAACTTAAATTATTACCACACCAGTCTCTGCACACTCCCCACAACCCCTGCTCTTTTCCAAGAATAGCCGTAACCTAGCTTGACAAACTACTGATTTCACCAAAGCAATTTCAATGCCTGTTAGACATTAGAGACAAGTAGAGGGAGGACTGAAAACACTGCAGTGCTTTAGAGAGACATTTCCTCCAGGCAGTCTTCCTGAATCGGCTAGCAGATCAATAAAGGACACCTGGATATAGGAAGTACATAGGATTTCCCTCTCATTTTAATCTTTGCTTATTCAGTCAATGTCAGTGGCGAGGCAGAGCTCTGGTCTTACGACCACCACAAACTTCCTAGGCATAGGCACAAACAATTCTATGACTAGTGATGGAGTACTGGGTTAGAGGGGATACAAAGTGAAATATTGAGACACTTAACAACAGAGAAGAGATGGGGAGATCCTGCTCACTGGAGGAGGGTGGAGGGGATCTTATCACAGGACCGGGGACCAGATAGCATGTGAACTGATCTTTTAAAGATAGGGAAGACCATGTAACAGACCTGTAGGGGAGCAGAGAGGCATTTTTATAATCAATAAAAATTGTGATTGGTACATTCCAGATTCAGGGAAAGCAGGAATGGAGGAATAAAGAAGAGTTTTTTTTGAGGGGGAGGAGAGGAAATACCCAGCTGCCTGGCACACACTATGCAAGACAAAGGCAGCCAGTGATGATAAAATGGAGAAAACAGTCAGATGTAGCGAGAACCTGAACCCAAACTGAGTCCCTTTCCCCCATTTATGATAAAATGGAGAGGATAGTCAGATGCAGTGAGAACCTGAACCCAAACTGAGTCCCTTTCCCCCATTTATGGTGCAATCTTGAGCATTCCTGTTCACCCTTCTTAGTTTTGTTTCCTCCATTAGCCATGAAGGCAAGAATGCTTGCCATTCGGCATGGTAATCTCACTCGCTGATACACTGGAGGTGTTAGGAGGGTGCTTGGCTCAATGCAACTGCTCAGAACATTTGGGAGCCTTGTTCGGTTCTCATAGAAAATGCTAGAAGCTGTTAGGATGGGAGCTAACAGCTTCCCATCTTCTGTTCTGTGTCCCGGCTTCCCCATCTACATCAGGGCAGTTGTTGGTTTGGTATAACATCTCACAGAGGGTATATGTCATACTATGTTCTCATGGATCCAAGAGCCATGCTCTCTGGAAGAGTGAGCTCACCATTCTGTATTTTAATGTGATACATTGACAAACTGGCCACAGGTTTTCTGACCTTCTTCTATTGAGGCATGAACTCTATTTCTCTCCTGTTCTTATCTAGGCTGGTCTTGAGACTGTTTTGTGAAAGAAGAGAAGAGTCCTGAGCCCAGGCCTTGAGAGATTTCAACTCCTCTTCCCCTTTCTTGAACACGTCAGATTAACCTTGTGAATGAAGAGAGATCACGTGGAGGGAGGTTTCAGACATTCACCAGTTTGGCCAAGGCCACCATAGTCCAGCCCCTAAATGACCCAGGAGTTGATGCTAATCTACTTCGTCAGAAGCCTGCTGCCTTGTTAATTATAATAGGCAGTCATTGTTTTAAGCCCTTTCTTAAATTGTGTGGCAATTTGGTAAGTAACAAAACTACGTGATACATATGGGGACAGCACAACCTTTAAAGTAATGCCAGCACTAGAGTGGCAGAGGCAGAGAGATCTCTGGGAGTTTGAAGACAGTCAGGTATATACACTGAGAGTCTATCAGAAAATGAATGAAAGAAAGAAAAAAGAAAGGAAGAAAAGAAAAGGATACCTTGACCTACAAGAAGCATGACTTGCTCATGAGGCTGCCATCAGTCTTAAGGCTTCCAGGAGCTGGGTACAGTGGTGACTGTGTAACATCAGTAATTGGGAGGTGGAAGCAGAACTATCGAGGTCATCATTAGCTACTGACGACAAATGAGTCATGGCTAAATGAGACCTCCTCACACCACCCCCTGGAAAAGAGGGCTACCAAGAATGGCCACCCGATTGGTGAGTAGCCCGGTCCTAGGAGGTTTATTCAAGTAAGTGTAACACTCTCTGATTTGCACAACACAGGTGGTCTGTAGGGTTAAGCAAGACAAAATATGTGAAGTCTTGGTATAAAGTTGGTGCAAACTAAGCATTTATTTTTATAACAACTTCTTGTATTGAAATATTTTCTTCTGTTTTATTTTATGACTATTAATACTTAATTATCAAATAAGCTTCCATTTTCCCCTCAGAGAAGTGTTCTAGGAGTGGTGATGGTGGTGGTGGTGGTGGGCCAGGTAATCTTCAGGGTTCTCTAGTGTGGCTCTCTGTGATTCATGAACTAACACAAATCTACTCGCAATGAAGAAGCAGAAACACATGGCTCCTTTGGTGCATGGAGGACAAGGCCCCAGAAATACCACACGGCAGGCCATCTGTCAGGCAGCCACGTCAACAGTCTGAGAAGCAGTCCATAAAGCTGCCAAACCCTCCCTTTGCTCTGCCACAATTAAACAGGAGGCACAGGCAAGGCCCCTGTGCCTGGAAGGTGCGTGGCAGAACATTGCTATGTTCTGAACAGGAACTAAAGAGTTAATGTACCACTGAGGATACAAAGACACCTTTTGGTTTAAGATAAAAAGCAAGCAGCATAGGCACGGAAAAGTCCGTGAGATGCCTTCTCCTGCCCATTCCCACCTCTTCATCACACTGAGTTCTGAAACATTTACAGCTGACTTGGTTTCCAGAACTGGGTTTCTAGCAGACTCTTGCCTGTTTTACTGGTAGCTTTGGACAGGGTTCTGGGGCTGAGTTCCAGGAGGAGCTTTACTCTTTCCCAGGCATGGATCATGGGACTGACGGCTTAGCCTCGCCCTAGAAACTGGTACAAGCGGTCTAGACTTTGGCCCGACAGTGATTCTGAAGCACAGCCACAGATGAGTACCGCTGACCTAAGTATTCTAGCTTGGGTCCCTGCAGGCAAAGTATAGATGATAAGATCCACTACGTGGTGTTGCTAGGTGAACCAACTAAGATGGAGAATAGCAAACTGTTTTCACTGGACACAGCTTTGCCTGGAATAGCCTTCTATCTTACACACAGGTCTCAAAGACCGGCTGTATTGTTTTTAATCAGCCATCTTCAGTACCAGGAATCTGTCCTGGCTCTGCTTCATGGGCCTGTGTGCGCAGACTCAAGGAGGAGTAAAGATGATGTGTATGTTTTTTGGATCACCCTCAGACATCCAGGATGCAGATAACATTTGCTTGTATGTTCTATTTTAGTGCCATCTCAGTGGTGCTTAGAAGAAATTAGTACTGTGTCATCACTGCAATAGTGAAGAGGGAGCTTTGTCTACCCAGTTGCTGGTAGAAGTGAGTACAAGGGGTGTGCAGCTATATGGTATGTACACATGGATTTATTTGGGTGCGCCAGCCTGCATTTAGTTGGCAAGCACCTCATTTTGCTGACTCTATGCTGGGCACTGGTCCCATCCTTGCATTTGGACTGTCCAGTACCCCCAAGGAGACAAATCCATGGTTAATAGTACTGTTAAGGGTCTAACAACCCCTACTCATGTTAGTGACCACTACATTGGGAGTAGTACATTGGGAGTAGTGGTCACTAATCATGTAGTGGCAAGCTGTTTAGAGAAGTATCATATTGGTACAAGTGAGAGAATGTGAGGAAAGGCTCTGGGTAGATCTGGTAGACTATATTATCCAAAAGCCCCTAGCTTATATCTTCTTCATTTCTTACCTGGCATATATTTTAACTACTCTGTTTCAAGGAAGCTGTTTTCAGTGTTCCTTGACCTTTCTATCCTGTGCCCCCATGTCCCTCTCTATATTCCTTCCTGTATTTCAGCTTAGCCCACATGGAACTGTTTGACATTGTCTGGACACACATGTTCTTTCACATCTGTCTTGGGCAAGCCTGACATACTTTCCTTCCCACAACCCCCTTTGCCTCATTTTCTTTCCACAGCTATTTGCTGTCTACCCAGTGTTCCCTTTTACATCTCTGAACAAATGATTTCCTCTGCTGGGGATGACCCCACTCCTTCCTTTTGTCTGCCCAAAGTGGTAACTTCTAATCTTTTCTAAACCAAATTCAAAGGTCTCCTCTGAGGACCCACACACCCTGATTCCCCACCAATAACTGCAATTTCTCCTCTGCTCCCCTTCCCTCTGCACTTCTGAGTGTCTCTCACTCAGTTAAGGCACAGTATGTGATAACACAGACAGAAATAAAGAGGGGACTTTGCTCCCTAGAAGCCCTGGTGTTTGAATTCTACCTCTGTAGAGAGACTCCTTTGGAGGACATTAGCCAGTGCCTGGAAACTGGAATGGATTTATCTTCATATTGCTTTTTGCCTGTCCCTGCTTTGCTGTTTAGCTCTTTCTTAGAATCAAATTTCATTTCTAGGTAAAGTCAGGAAAGAAAATATTTTGCAGTTATCTGCCTGATTGTGCAATGTTTTATGCAATTTATGAGTTAAAAGGTTGCAAACCAAGGTATCAAACACACATGAGGCTAATCAGCAGAAGTTCAGGAGCAGAGCCAAGGGTGGCCAATGAGCGAGTCCTTGGACTCTGAATTTAGGTCAGAAAATTGGCTTTGGATTTTATTATTCAGCCCACTCCTAAGGCACAAGCAGTGTTCTGATTTCTGTTATGTTTCACTTAATTTTAAGAGCAAGAATGTCCATATTAGGATAACATTGCTTATTGTTTTGCTATTACCCTTGTGATCTCAAACTCCATCCCCTGGAAAGAGCACTATATTCTAATTATTAAAGACAAATGAGTATCTGTTCTCTAGACTTGTCTCCTAAACTGTTCACAAAAGGGATTACATGGTGTCTTCAAGATCTCTGATAACTTAAACATTTTGATTCATTTCTTTTCTATGTGTGTTATCTTGCAGCAAAATCTATCATACAGTCCTTCTTTTCTGCTAAGCCCCAACCATAGGTCTGTGTTGACCTTCCTGCTCCCTGTCATGCACCAGTTAGCGTTATCCAGGCTTGCTGACTCCAACAAAATTTATATGATGTGATGTGATGCAGTATTTGAAGATTCCTGTAACTCATTCTCAAGAGACATTTTCTACATCCTGCATTGTGTTTGTTACCTTTTTTATCACTACAACTAATTCCTGTGAAAAACAGCATCTCATTTAGCTCTCAGTTTTGGAAGTTCAAAGGCATAGACCTGGCACTGGGTCATCTCTGTGAAGATGACATCTTGACTAAAGGCAGTGGTTGGGAGTGCTTGTGGAAGAAGATGGTTTCAGTTTTACACATGAAAGCAGAGAACAAAAGAGACATGGAGATCAGCTCTGTCTTGGTAACAGTGTGCTCCCATAGAACTCACTCCAGGGGATTAAGATTCCCTACCAAAGGAAGCAACTCCATTGGCCAAGAACCTACTATCAGGTCTCACTGCTTTTTACTTCTTTGCTATTTGAAATTATGTGTATGTGTGCATGTTAATGCAAGTATCTACAGACACCAGAACTGTCAGATCCTCTGGAGCTGGAGTTACAGGCAATTGTGAACTGCCTGAGGGTGGATGCTGGAATGTGAACTCTGATCCTATGTAAGAGTAGTATGTGCTCTAAATCATGGAGTCATCTCCCCAGCTTCCATGTCCTACTTCTTAAACATTGAGCCTATCAGAGGACATGCAACAGAGACCATTTGCTATTGTCCTTATGTCTGTTGATCATGTATGTTCAGACTTGACATTTTGGTTCACATTATATACTTCTAAAGTCAACATTTGACAAATATATATCACCTCTAGTTACAAAGCCAAAAGGAGTTTCTTGTTTGGTGTTCTTATATTCTGTCCCTATTGTCTCCTCTACTTATCCTCTGCTGACATGACCACTCTTTCAAAATGTGTAGAAACTCCAGTCCCTAGGTTTTGTTTTTATTTTATTTATTTTTTGAGACATGTTTTCTCTTTGTAACAGTCCTGGATGTTATGAAGCTCCTTCTGTAGATCAGTCTGGCCTCAAACAGGTGTAGATGGAAGTTTCTGTCCTTCCTGGCCCACTGCCCAAATAAGCACACAGAGGCTTATATTAAAAATATAAACTGTTTGACAGATGGCTCAGGCTTCTTATTGGCTAGGCCTCTCTTAATTATTAACCCATTTCTAATAATATGTGTATCCCCATGTAGTTTTGGCTTACCAGAGATGCCCTGGTATCCTACCTTCCTGATAGCTACATGTCATCCTTGTGGCATATTTTTAAACTGTTATCCAATTAAACCTAAGCCTGGAAATTCTTGCTTACTCCTTTCAGAGAGACCCGGCCTCAATGAAGCTATCTTTACCCATGTAGCTGATCTCCTTCCAGCTAACTTCTTAGGGAGCTGATACCAAGCCTGGTCTGTCCCTGGAATCTCTTATTTCCAGACCCCAGGAAGTACCTTACTTCTTGGCCTTCCTCCTGAAGCCACTTACTGTATCCACTCCAATTGCCTGTGCTTTCAGCTCTGGATGGCTGGTATATGAAAAGTCTTATTAAAAAAAAGCTTTATAAGTTGTAACTACTGATAATACATTCACTGTTTATGGTTATTATTATTGTTGTGTACAGACATGATTTATCTAGAATTTCTTTTTAAAAATACTGTTTTGTATATGTTTGTGCATGATGTGTGTGAGGGCACAAGTGTGCCATGGTATGCATGAAGAGGTCAGGGGACAACTTTGTGGCATTTATTCTCTCTTTCCCCCTTTACATAGGTTCCAGGGATGGAACCTAGGTCATCTGTCTTGTGTAGCAAGTCCTTTATATGCTGATCTGTCTGACCCCATCTTCAATTTCGAGATAAGTACTATGCTCTTCTGCAGACACTGAGGATCCACTAGCCCTTTAGCTTCTCAGCATGGCCCTGAGAATGTCATTACCACAGGTTGAGACACTTCCTTCAGTAGTCCTCAAACATCTTAGCCACAGGACTGTCCCTGAGAGGTAGAGCAGAAGTAGGAAATACTCAACACTTACCCAGAGAACATTTACCTAGAGAGAGATTGTGCCATGTCTGTGCTGCATGGAAAGAGCTAGAGAAGAAAGACAGCACAGTCTCAGGGACTGTAAAATTTACTTGGGAAATGTAAATAATTGTTAAGAAATATCAAAATAACCAAAAATCTTACAGAGATAAGCGTGACATTGGCACAATTCTTAGGTAAGCCATTTTCCCTAAAGGACCCTTGCAATGGTCTCATTTGGGTAGAGGTCCAGGGGCACCTGACTATTTCCTTCTTTTCTCAAGGTTCTTTTTTGGAGAGGAATGTTTGAGAACTTTCTAGCCATGTCCTCTGAGGAGAGACTAAAGAAGGTGCCAGTGTTTGAGTAAGGCCCTGGAGAGTGAGCAGGAGTCCTTTGTGTCACTGGAGCGGGCCATGACTTTCTGAGAACAATAATAAAGTGAGGAAGTTCATGGCAGCAGATTGTAGTGGTTGAAAGCAATTTAATAGATGAGGCAGACAAAGCATGGCAGAGGCTTCTGAAGTCACACAGCAAAGTGACAAGGATGTCAGCTGATCTCAGGAACATCCTCCTGAAACCACAAGTACAGGCTAGAGGGAGAAAGCAGAATACAAGGTGTTGCTAGAGTTTCTTTTTTCCTACCAGGTTCCACCAACCTCAGCCTTAAATAACACACTGGCTTCTTACTGGATAGTTCTGTCTTAATTATATAACCCATTTCTATTCATCTAAGTATTTCCAAGTGGTCTTATCTTACCAGAAAAGAGTCCAAACCTGTTACTCCTTCTTTGGCATCTCCTCGTGGCCACTCTCTGCCTACCTTTCCCAGAATTCTCCTAGTCTCCTAGTCCCACCTATCTTCCTGCCTCTATTGGACAAACAGTGGTTTAGTCACCAACAAACAAGAGAAACAGAAGGACATCACCATCAGCAAGGAGCACAGCACCATGGGTATTTGGCCTCATCTTTATGGAATTTGCTTGTGCATTCAGGGCAAACTTAATCCGCATCTCCTAAATGCGTCCATGCTTATGAAAGCCCAAATTTATGGCAGGGTAGGGTAGAAAAAATCTAGTTTGTGATGATCCCCCAGATCTCACAGTAATGTGAACATTGTTAAGAATTAAATAACAAGCCTGAGATGTGGAAATGGAGAGGAAGAGAAAAGTGAGAGAATAATTTGACAGGAATAGAATGACAAGGCAGAAGTAAAGACAAGTTAACAGGTACTGTCCCAAGAAAGATGATGCTCAAAAGAGTGGTAGAAATATAGAATTATAATCTTGGGAAGGATAATAAGACACATTAAAATATGCTGAATGTGGAATGAATATTACAGATAGCATTTAAGTTGTTCAGAAAACAGTTGTAGACAGGATGTGGTAGTCAGCGGAACCTGCTAGTGAACATTCCATTTGGTCTGTGATGAGTCTTGAAGGAATGGGAGAGGGATGTAGAATAGTCATTGAAGGAAAAGACATTAAAGCTAAAATCCTGAAAACAATGCAACTTTGCTCTTGAGTTTGATTCATGGTGGAGGAATTCACCCAAGGTCATTGGCCAACTGGAACAACTCAAAGGTCAAGGGCTGCACATTTTTTCATAGCATTTCTCATTTATTTGAGCTTAAATGAAGCTGAATTCTTCAGGGAAATGAGCAAATGTTAAGCATCTCCAAAACCAGGACGTTTCATGGCCAGAAACTATGTTGGTTCAATAGTAATACAAATGACTAATACAATTCTTGTAGGTCTCCCGTGGTCTGAGTCCCAGGAATCTGAGCCAGCAGCACACAAATAGATGGTAGCTCCAACTGAAGGCAATTATGCAAGAGAAACCCAAGTGTGACTATCCCCATGAAAATGATGGGAGGTGCTCTCAATGCAATGGTCTCATCCGTGCTTTGATCTGACCTATGAGATGGTCATGAATTACCGAGTGTGGTTAGTCAGGGCTACATCCTAATGACAGCTCTTTAAATCTAACCACATAACTCATCTTGCTGGTTCTCTAGGCACCTTGCTTTACCATTTGATCTGTCTTTGTTGGGTCCAGACTCAAGACAAGTCATTTTGTATGGATTCTGTTGACCCTTTAAGATCTAGATAGATGTTTCTGCTACTAGGATGCTCCATCTTCCCCTGTTGTCCACAACATCTGACAATGCATCATTGTAATAGTTGGGACCTTGCAAAGAAACATAAACAGATGTTCCCCCTTCATCCTATTGGATTTTTCAAAGGGAGATTAGACTATAACTGAGTTTGCAGTTAAGATTTCCTAGGCTTCTAACACTGGGCCTTCTTGGTCAAAGGATGATTGGTAGGGAAGAGAAGTCATGGTGACTGGAACTTGAGACAACTGGTTATGTTGCTTCCACAGTAATGAATGCTGATGCTCAACTAGCTTTCTCAGTTTTATCCAGGCTGGGACTACAGCCCATGGAATGGTGCAGACCACAGTAATTGTCTTCCTATTCAATAGATCTAATGTAGATAATAATCCCTTACATGCATGCCCAGAAGTGTGGATCCTAGGTGTTTCTAGATCTTGTCAGGTTGACAATATTAATTGTTATACCACAAAATACAAACTCCTGGATGTCTTAGAAAATGACTTCCTTGAGAGCTTGTTTGGAGGTTTTAGCAGGGGAGTGCAGCTACTTTTATACCTTGACAGAAGACCCGTCCTTCTCTATTCCCGGAAGGTCATCCTCTTCGACCAAGCGTTCAGTTTCGGGAGGAACACACATAGCCGTGAGGGAGAAAGGGGACACCCACCTAGTCAGCCAGATCAGCCGAATCAATCCTGGTAGGCAAATGGATGGCACTAGAAGAAACCATCCTGAGTGAGGTAACCCAGTCACAAAAAGACAAACATGGCATGTATTCTCTCATGTATGGATTTTAGACATAGATCTGGGCAGTGCCAGCCCATAATCCCATGGCCAGAGAGTCTGGGGAACAGAGCCTTCATCCAATGGCTGATGGATGCAGAGGTGCAGAGGCAGACTCCCACAGATAAACACTGAGCTGAACTCAAGGAATCCAGTGACAGAGAGGGAGGACTGATGATCAAAGGGTTTAAGACTGGGATGATTTAACCCCCAGAAACAGCTGACCTGACAAGGATTAGCTCTTGAATCTCAGACTGATGGCTGGGATTCCAGCATGGGACTGATCAAGATGCCCTGAATCAGTGTCAGTGAGGAGGCCTAGGCAATCTATGGGGCCTTGGGTAGTAGATCGGTATTCATCCCTGGCATACAAATGTACTTTGGGTGCCCATCTCACAATGAGAGATGCACTTTCAGCCTGGGGAAATGAGGAGGTATTGGGGAGGGTTGGTGGGAGGGTGTGGGAGGAGGAGAGGGAAAGGGAGAGGGACCTGGAATGGACATGTGAAGCAACCTTGTTTCTAATTTAAATTTAAAAATTAAAATTAAAAAAAAGAAAACGACTTCCTCGTTTATTTTTTCCTTTGTATCTTTTCCCTACTGGTGCGATATTAGAAGGAACAGAAGTTACAGTTAAACTGATGGGAATTCAAGTCCTAGGTCTACCATTTGGTTTGTTCTCAGCTCACAACTTTGTTAAGATAAGATCTTCATCTACAAAATTCAGTGTGCAGCATTAGCTCCAGTGGGTTATTTTAAGGACTTAGGGACCAAGTACATGTAAAACTAGCACAGCTTGAGGTTTTGACATGTATTATGTGCCGTTCTGACACTGCTACACATGAAGGCTTCCCTGCAAATTATTTTGAAAGTCAGGGATAAGCAGAGGCGTAAGTCTTGGGTGAATACACTTTCTTCCTGGTGAGCTGATCACAGAAGAGAGTTACAGATGGCTGGGCAATGCTAGTCCTGATCTAGACCTCT